GCTGTGTCGTTCATGTCGCCACCCAATTTGCTGATTGGTTGATTGAATTAGAGCGAGAGTCAATCAACTCTTGTCAGCAAGGTTAGCAAGAGATCGCGAAACATCGCGACACTCTGCCGCAAAAAAAGACGGTATCGGGAGGAAAATGTTGTGCGTCTAGCCACAGTGTCATCAGGTGGAGAGAATATCTGTGCGGCCGTTCTGAAAGACGACCGGCTTTTGAACCTGTCCAAAGCCGCGCACCACCTGACGGGCCCTGCTGCCGAGGTATTGAAGGCAAATTCAATGCTCCTTCTGATCGCCGGATCGCCGGAGACGCTCGATACCGCACGCAACCTTGTGGACGACGCTGAAGCCGGTCTCCTTGACGCGGCGATTCTGCCCGAGGGGGCAGATCTGCTGGCGCCAATTCCCGTCATTCGCAAGAACGTTCTATGTGTCGGGCGCAACTATGCTGAACACATCACCGAGGGGGACCGGGCGCAAAAGCAGCAGGTCGGCGTAACCGAGTATCCGGTTTTCTTCACCAAACCGCCGACGTCCATCGTAGGCCCGGGCGGCGATGTGCTGACCTTTCCGAACGTCTCAAAGCAAACTGACTACGAAGTTGAACTGGCCGTGATTATCGGCACGCCGGGGCGCAATATCGCCAAGGCGGACGCAATGAAACACGTCTTTGGCTACACTATTTTGAATGACATCTCCGCCCGCGACGTACAGCGCCGCCATGGCGGGCAGAATTTCAAGGGAAAGGCCTTTGACGGCTCTTGCCCCATGGGTCCTTGGATTGTGACCGCGGACGCCATTGATGATCCGCATGCTTTGCCGATTTCGCTGACCGTAAATGGTGAGATCCGGCAGAACGGCAACACCGCGGACATGATTTTCGATATCGAGACACTTATCGCCTCGTTGTCGGAGGGCATGACGTTGGAGCCCGGTGACATCATCGCGACCGGTACGCCGTCGGGCGTGGGATACGCCATGGACCCACCAAGTTTCCTGAAGGATGGCGACACCGTCGTTTGCAACATTTCAGGGATCGGCACGCTCACGAACTCGGTGCGTGCCGTATAAGCGATCTTCCGAAGACGTCGATAGGACGAGGGGGATTGGAAAGAACGCGAAGGGAGGAATAAGCGTATGATGAACCGCAGAACATTAACATCTTTACTGACGGCAGCGCTGGCAGCCGGATTGTTTGGAAAGGTTACGTTTGCGCAAGACTTGCAAGAAATTACTTTCGTGCAGCCGAGCCCGTCAGCCATCAACTCGTTTCCGGTCTTTGTCGCCATAGGCGAAGGGTTTTTCGAAGACGAGGGCTTGAACGTTACGGTCGAAGCCATCAATGGTTCGGGTGCGGTTTTGCAGGCGTTGTCTGCAGGTCAAGCGCAGTTCGGCCGTCCGGGCCCCGGCCCGCTTATCGCAGCGCGTTCACGCGGTGTGGATGCCACACATATCTACAACGTGGCTGCACGGAGCAATTTTGGAATCGCAGTTCAAGAAGGCTCCGATTTTCAGAAGATCGAGGACCTGCGCGGCAAGGTTATCGGAACCGGTACAGCGGACGGTGCTGAGGTGGGCTTTGCCCGCAACGTGCTGACCGGGGCTGGAATGGTCGAAGGCACTGACTTTGAGTTCCTCACGGTCGGTGACGGTGGCCCGGCAACCGCGGCGTTCCTGAACGGAGAAATTGACGCCTATTCTGCGTCCACCGCAGATACAGCGGTTCTCAACCAGCGCGGCATGAAGGTGCGTGACATCACACCCGCCGAGTTCGGCCGGTTCTTCGGCAACGGCATTGCCACCATGGCCGATACGATCGCCAACGACCGTGAGCTTGTTGAAGCATGGAGCCGTGCCTTTGCCAAGGGCCATGCCTTTGCACTGGACGACGCCAATCGCGATGCAGTTCTTGCCCACCTTGCCGCAGGCAATCCGCAGGAAGGTGAAGACAAGGAGTTCCAAGCTGCACTGTTCGATGCGGTTCGTTCCAAGACAATTGCTGCTGGCGACAGCCCGCATCTTGGCTGGTATCCGGCGGCAGTCTGGGAAGAATGGCAGGATGCTCTCGTCGCTGGCGGTGAAATCCCAGGACCTCTCGATGATCTGAGCGTGATCTGGACCAATGAGTTCGCAGAGCTCGGAAGTGCAGGCGTCGGAAAATGAACGCCTCATTGGCAAATGACTACTCCGGCGCTTCATCTGAAGCGCCGGTTTATGAGTTGACCAATGTCAGCAAGACGTACGCGCGCAATGCGGTGATCGCGCTGGAGAACGTGGACCTCACCTTGCGCCACGGGAGCTTCACGTCGGTTATCGGATCAAGCGGCTGCGGGAAATCGACCCTGTTGAAGATCATGGCGGGGCTCATTCCACCCACGAAAGGCCGTGTGATCCTTCAGGACAAGCCTGTCACCGGTCCGCGGCGCGACATCGGAATGATGTTCCAGCAAGCCACGCTCTTCCCCTGGAAGACTGCGGTCGAGAACATCGTGCTGCCGATCGAGATCCGTGACGGGAAAGCGGCCGCCAAGCAGGCGAGGGAAAAGGCGCATGACCTGCTCGACATTGTCGGGCTGAAAGGGTTCGAGAACGTTTATCCCAATGAACTGTCCGGCGGCATGGCGCAGCGCGCGTCGATCTGCCGGATGCTGATTACCGAACCGGCAGTTCTGCTTTTGGACGAACCGTTCAGCGCGCTGGACGAGCTGTCTCGCGACATGATGAACATGGAATTGCAGAGAATTTGCCGTGAGCAGGACGCGACGGCCTTTCTGGTCACGCATTCCATTCAGGAGGCGGTGATACTGTCGGATGAGATCGTCGTAATGAAACCCCGCCCTGGCCGAATTGCGGAGATCGTCCACGTTGATCTGCCCCGGCCGCGCACGCTTGATATGATGACGACACCGAGATTTGGCGAAATCGTGGATCATATTCGCAGCATGTTGGACAAGGGAGAAGACATGTGACTGATGCGCCCACCAATCAGCGGTTAGAGGCCGAAGCAGCGGACGATACCGTCTGGGTTCAGGAAGTTGCATTCATCGATTCCGTGCCCCGTTGGATCGCCATGACATTTGTGTTCGTGGTTTTCATCGGCACGTGGGATCTGATAACACGCCTAGAACTCGTTTCGCCGATCATTTTGCCCACGCCGTGGGAAACCTTCAACGACATGATCTTTGTCGGAAACAATCTTCTTAGCGGCGGCTATATGCTTGTTTCTCTTTGGATCACAGTCAAAGAGGTGATCTACGGATTCGCCCTGGCCATCACCCTCGGCTTCTCGCTTGGCGTACTCGTCGGCGAAACAGTGTTCGGGGAAAAAGCTGTCATGCCTTACCTGGTAGCCATCGACACCATGCCGAAGGTTGCTTTTGCGCCCCTCTTTGTTGCCTGGCTGGGCTTCGGCATCGAATCCAAAGTGGCACTGGCGGCGTTTATCGCCACTTTCCCGATCGTAGTGGGAACGGCCGCAGGTCTTCACTCGGCTGATGAGAATGCCCGCATGCTCTTCAAGACCATGGGTGCGAGCCGGATGCAAACGTTGATCAAGATGAAGCTTCCCACCGGGCTGCCGCAGATCTTCACAGGGCTTAAGATCGGCGCCGTCGGCGTTATGGCCGGCGCGATCACGGGCGAATTTCTGGGCGGCGGCAAGGGCTTTGGCGAACTGATCCGGGTCGCTGCATCCCAGCTCAACACGCCCCGGGTATTCTCGCTGATCCTGTATCTGAGCCTCGTCGGGCTTGCACTGTACCTGATCGTGCAATGGACACAGCGCAGGATCGTCTTCTGGCAGAAGGAATCCGTAGGTGCACACGACAACTGAAGAATCCGCCATAACGGTGCAAACCCTGCGCGATTTCGTTTCGGCTGCGCTGCAGTCGAAGGGCGTCCCGCATGATGATGCCGTCACAGTCGCCACGCTCATGGTTGAGGCGGACATCTTTGGGTATGGCACGCATGGTGTTTTTCGCCTGCGGCAATACCTGGCGCGTTTGGACGGTGGCGGCTGCAACCCGACGCCGTCTGTGACAGTGGCCCAGGAAACAATTGCAACGGGGGTGATCGACGGGGACGACGGGCTTGGCCATCTTGCCATGTCCGCTGCGCGCGATCTTGCCATCGAAAAGGCGCGCGCCGCCGGTATTGGCTGGGTTGGTGTCCGCCGCGGCAATCATGCCGGGCCCTTGGCGCTTTATGTGCGCACGCAGGCCGAGGCCGGTCTGCTTGGCATGGCGGCTGCAGTAGGAAGCGCGAACCACGTTCCTCCATACGGGGGAACCGACCTGCTGCTTGGGACCAACCCGATCGCGTTCTCGGCACCTGCAGCCGGTGCCGATCCATTCGTATTCGATATGGCCACAACCGTTGCAGCGATGGGAAAGATCAAGACGCTGCTGCAGCAGGGCAAGGAGATGCCGGAAGGCTGGATGGTTGGACGGGACGGCAAACCGCTCACGGATCCAGCCCGGAAATCAGAGGGCTTCCTCCTGCCGATCGGCGGCCCAAAGGGATTTGGTTTGTCGATTGCAATTGGGCTCATGGCCGGTGTGCTCAACGGGGCTGCCTTCGGCTCGGATGTGGTCGACTTCACGAATGACACGAGCTCTTCGACAAATACCGGGATGTTTGTCATGGCACTTGATCCCGCTGCCTTCGGAATTGGGGACGATTTTGCGCGTTCCGCCAGTCGGGTCTTTGACGAGATGCGCGCCTCCGACCCGCTTCCGGGTCACGACCCTGTCCGCTTGCCAGGAGACGGCAAGACCGCGGCGGCTGATGCCCGCCGGTCAAGCGGCCTTGTTCTGAACCCTGCTCTGCGGCGTGACCTGAATGTGCTTGCGGCTGATTGCGGGCTCCCTGCTCCGTTTCCGGACGAACCCGCAAAAGGCTGACAACGCGGCTGCGGGGAACCCTTGCTTGCGAGAAGCGATGCCGGCGATGTCATTCAGACAGAGCCACGTCGAAAGCACACCCGGACCTGTTCCCTAGTCGGCTTCATGGTCGGCCGCGTTCTTCAACCAGCGCAGCACTGAATTTTGCTTGTTTTTCATGTGAACACTCAGGATTGATGCCAGCATCTTGCCGTCGCGCGCTTCCAGCGCTCTCATGATTTCATTGTGTTCGTCCACGGCTTCGCTCCAGCGCTCGTCAGACATGTTGGCCGCATATCGTGCGCGCTGCATACGTGCTGACAATGCCATGCTGGAGTTGGCCAGGGTTTCGTTTCTTGCAGCAGTAAGGATGCCAAGATGGATGTCTTGGTTAAGTTTGAAATACGTGGCCAGGTCCCTGTCGCGATAGCTCTTTATCATTGCGTCGTGAAGCGAGCGGATCCCGGCTATTTCCTCGTCAGTGATCTTTGCGCAGGCCAGTTCACCCGACAGGCCCTCAAGAACGGCAAGCACCGGAAAGACCTCTTCAACCTCTTCTATGGTGATCAAGGTGACCCATGCGCCGCGATTTGGTTCCAATCGGACCAAACCTTCCGCGGCCAAGACCTTCAATGCCTCGCGCATTGGCGTTCGCGAGACGCTGAATTGTTCACAAAGGGCCTTTTCGGGAACTTTCTTGCCCGGGGCAATTTCGCTTTCGATGATCAGGGGACGCAGACGTTCCACCAGTTCAAGGTGAAGCGATCTTCGCTCGATGACCATGTTTGCGGATAAATCAGTCATTTTGCACCGTGTTGTCCGGTTTCAGTGCCAAGTCGAGAAGTTGGGCCATGTGCATCGGATTGCAATCGGTGTTGTCCGCTATTTGGTGGCGACAGGACGTGCCATCTGCCACGACAATTGCATCGCCAGATGCGGCGCGCGCAGCGGGAAGAACGTCCAGTTCGGCCATCTTTATCGACGTGTCATATGTGTCCACACCATAGCCGAATGCACCGGCCATACCACAGCAACTGCTGTCGATCTTGGTTACATTGGTGCCCGGCAACAGTGCCAGCATTTTTTCGATTGCGGGCATAACTCCCATTGCTTTCTGATGGCAGTGCCCGTGCAGTATCACCTCGGGCGCCGGAGATTCAAGGCGCGAGATGAAGTGCGGATTGTCCCCCTGATCGGCAATGAATTCCTCGAACATCCGTGCCAGTTTAGCGATCTTTTCGCTATCTTCGCCAGGTAAAAGCGCAGGTATCTCGTCGCGAAGGGTCAACAGGCAGCTTGGTTCCAGCCCGACAATGGGAATGTCAAGTTCCGCATAAGGCATCAGGGCATCGATAAGCCGTTTTGCCTCTTGCCGTGCCTGATCAACCAATCCGACCGACAGAAACGTGCGACCACAACACAATGGACGGCTATTGCCGGTAGGTTTTACCACATCAACCACACTGCCCGTGGCGTTCAGAACTCTGACTGCCGCGCGCAGGTTTTCGGGCTCGAAATAGCGGTTGAAACTGTCGACGAACAGAACCGCGTCCGGTGCGGAGGTCGCGCTGACCTCGGTATCCTTGAACGGCTTCGCGGCCCATCTGGGCAAGGGGCGTTTTGCTGTGAAACCCGTCAGGCGTTCGGTTGCCATGGCCAAACCCGGTACCTTGTCCCGCAGGTTCAAGAGAAAAGGCATTTTTGCCGCCCAGGGCGCATATCGCGGCAAATAGCCGATGAGGCGATCATGAAGGCTGGAGCCATGCTTTTTGGCGCGCGCAGACAGCACCTCAATCTTCATCCGCGCCATATCCACGCCGGTCGGGCACTCGCGCTTGCAGCCCTTGCAGGACACACAAAGCTTCATCGCATCTGCCATCTCGTCGGATACCAGCGCGTCGGGCCCAAGCTGCCCGGAAATCGCAAGGCGGAGGGTGTTGGCGCGGCCGCGGGTCAGGTCCTTTTCTTTGCGCGTCACTCGAAACGAGGGGCACATGACGCCGCCTCTCAGTTTGCGGCAGGCGCCGTTGTTGTTGCACATTTCAACCGCACCCTGAAATCCGCCATCTTTGCCGGACCACTCGGACCAATCCAGTTCGGTTTTCAGGTGCGAGGCCCGGTATTCCGGTCCATAGCGAAACAGGCGACGGTCATCCATCTTTGGCGCATTGACGATCTTGCCGGGATTGAACAAGCCGGTCGGATCGAAACGGTCTTTCACCTCCTCAAAGGTTGCGACCATCCGAGAGCCAAACATCTTTTCATGAAATTCCGAGCGGACGATGCCGTCACCATGCTCACCTGAATGCGACCCCTTGTAGCGGGCAACAAGATCAAAACACTCTTCGGCAATCGCGCGCATTGTGGCGACGTCATTGTCCAGCTTCAGGTTCAACACCGGGCGCACGTGCAGACATCCGACCGACGCATGTGCGTACCATGTACCTGTGGTGCCGTGGCGTTCAAAAATCTCCGTGAGCCCAGCCGTGTAGGCGGCAAGGTCAGGCAGTTCAACCGCGCAATCCTCTACAAACGATACGGGCTTTCCCGCGGTCTTCATGGACATCATTATGTTGAGGCCAGATTTGCGCAGTTCAGCGATCTGTCCCTGCAGGCCTGCATCCGTCACCGCGGTGACACCGCCCCAGGCCTTGCCGGTCCCGGTCCAGGAAAACCCGAGATCGCCCATCATCTGCTCGAGATCTTTTAACTTTTGCACCCCGTTGGCTCGCGTGAATTCCACCAGCAGCAAAGCCTCTGGCGTGCCGGTCACAAAATTTTCGATTGTCCTGGCAAAAAGCGGAATGTCGCGAGCCAGCGCGATCATCGTATGATCGACCAACTCAACGCCCTCGGGATCAAGTGTCACCAGATGCTGCGCCGCGTCCATTGCCTGATGGAAGGTCGGGAAGTGACACACACCCAGGGCTTTGCCATCCTGAAGCGGGGAGAGTTTCAGCTCGATCGCGGTTGTGTAGGCAAGCGTGCCTTCCGAGCCAACAAGAAGATGAGCGAGGTTCTGGGCGTCCAGTCCAGAGGTCAGCGCGTCGATGTTGTAGCCACCCACGCGGCGCATCACATTGGGGAACCGGGCAGCGATCTCAGCCGATTCCCTCTGGCCGATCGCCGCAAGATCGTGGGAAAGCGTGTTGTAAGCCGTGTTCTGCTCGGTAAGACCCGCCCCAAACCTGTGTTTGCTGCCATCGGCCAGGATCGCGTCGATCGACAGGACATTGTCCCGCATCATGCCGTACCGGATGGATTTCCCACCGCAGGAGTTGTTTCCCGTCATCCCGCCAATTGTTGCGCGCGACGCTGTGGAGACATCGACCGGGAACCAAAGCCCATGCGGTTTGAGCACCCGATTCAGTTCATCGAGCACGATGCCCGGGCGCACGACACAGCGTTTGTTTGCGACGTCAAGTTCGAGAATTTCGTTGAAATGCTCGGAGTTGTCCAAAACCAGCGCTTCGTTGACGGTCTGTCCACACTGTGATGTGCCGCCGCCGCGGGGAAGGATCGGCACGCCTTGATCGCGCGCGCAGTCAATCGCCGCGAGAATGTCGTCTTCTGATCTGGGTGTCAGCACGCCCACCGGCATCATCTGATAAATCGATGCGTCCGTCGCATAGCGACCGCGCGAGAACGAATCGAACATCAGATCGCCCGACACCCTTTTTGAAAGCTCACGCGCAATGTCGTTCAACGCCGGGATCCTTGGTTCGTGTAATCTGAAAATGAATTATGAATTAAAAATTGCATATTCACAACTTCAATGTCATTCTGTGACGCACGTTCAAACGCAGGTCCCACAAGGTTCGATTTATGAGACAAGCTGGTCGTCATTTTCTGCAAATTCCCGGCCCCAGTTCGGTTCCGGATCGCATATTGAGCGCGATCTCCGGTCAGGTGATTGACCACAGGGGGCCTGCGTTCGGCAAAGTCGGTGCGCAGGCACTGGAAGGGATCAAAACCATCTTCAAGACCGAGCAGAACGTCGTGATCTATCCATCGTCGGGCACCGGCGGTTGGGAGGCGGCGCTGGTCAATGTGCTGTCGCCGGGCGACCGGGTTCTGATGTTTGAAACCGGACATTTTGCGACGTTGTGGAAAACGATTGCCGAGAAACTGGGCTTGAAGCCTGAGTTCATAGAAGGAGACTGGCGCGGCGGTGCCGATCCGGACCAGATCGAGGCATATCTGGCTGAAGACAGAAATCATGAGATCAAGGCCGTCTGCGTTGTCCACAACGAGACATCGACGGGGTCCGTCTCGCCGATTGCTGCTGTCCGCAAGGCAATCGACAACGCCGGACATCCGGCACTGTTCATGGTCGATACGATCTCGGGACTCGCGTCGCTCGACTATCAGCACGATGAATGGGGCGTTGATGTCACCGTTTCCGGATCTCAAAAGGGACTGATGTTGCCGCCGGGTCTTTCGTTCAACGCGGTAAGTGCCAAGGCCATGGCGGCGAACGCCTCGGCCGCATTAAAGCGGTCATATTGGGATTGGGCGGATATGGTCGGTCCGAACAAAACAGGATACTTCCCGTATACGCCTGCCACGAACCTTCTTTACGGGCTGAACGTCGCCATTGACATGCTGCACGAAGAAGGACTGGAAAATGTCTTTGCCCGACATGCGCGTCACGGGGCAGCTGCACGTGCTGCCGTCCGCACCTGGGGACTGGAAGTTCTCTGCAACAAGCAGGGGCAGGAAAGCGGCGTGCTGACGGCTGTCATGGTCCCGGAAGGCCACAGCGCAGATGGGTTCAGGGCAACGACTTTGGAGCACTACGATATTTCTTTGGGCAACGGCCTGTCGAAGGTTGCCGATAAAGTATTCCGCATCGGCCATCTTGGTGACTTCAACGATCTCATGTTGGTCGCAACACTGGCGGGCGTCGAAATGGGTCTGACAAAGGCCGGAATTCCCCACAACGCAGGGGGAGTCGGAGCTGCGATGGCGATGCTGGAGAACACGCAAATCGCGGCAGAGTGACGAAAACAGTCACATTTCCAAGGGAGGAAACACACATGACCATCAAGGCAATTCTTATTGCAACAGCCGCTGCGATTGGCGGAACAAGCAGTGCCTTTGCCGCCGACATCACGCTGAAGTTTGGCCATGTCGGCAATCCTGGTTCACTGTTCGAAGCAAGCGTCGACAATTTCGCGGAATGTGTGAATTCGTCGATGGGCGGCAAAGTCGAGGTTCAGACCTTCGGCTCTTCGCAGTTGGGCAAGGACAAGGAGCTTCTGCAAAAGCTGAAGCTGGGTCAGGTAGACTTCGCGCTTCCGTCGTCCGTCATGTCTTCGGTCGATGACACGTTCGGCATATTTGAGATGCCCTACATCATCCGCGACCGCGATCACATGCGCCGCGTTCAAGACGCGATGATGGAAAAGTTTCAGGCCGCTGCAAACGGTGGCGGATATCACATCGTTGGCCTGGCCGAGAACGGCTTCCGCCACATCACCAACAACACGCGGGCAATCAATGTGCCGAGTGACCTAGAAGGCATCAAACTTCGCACTCCCAACGGTGTGTGGCGTGTCAAGATGTTCACGGAATACGGCGCAAACCCGACGCCAATGGCATTCTCGGACGTGTTTACCGCGTTGCAAACCGGCGTGATGGACGGCCAGGAAAATCCCTATGCGCAAATTGCATCCGCAAAATTCCAGGAAGTCCAGAAATACCTGTCAATTACCGGCCATGTCTACACGCCTGCCTATATCCTCGCTTCGCAGAAGGGCTTTGCGAAACTGCCTGAGGACGTGCAGGCCGGGTTGACCGCTTGTGCGGCGTCCACGCAGGACTTCACCTACGAAAAAGCGGCACAGCTCGAAACCGAGTTGCTGGACGTCATCAAGGCCGCCGGTGTCGAGGTGAATGAGGCGAACAAGGATGCATTCGTCGAGGCATCCGCGCCGATCTACAAGGCATTCGCCGACGAGGTCGAAGGCGGGCAAGACATGATTGACCAGGTTCTGGGCCTGGCGAACTCAAACTGACGCTTGTATCGGGCAGCGGGCAATCCGCTGCCCTTTCATTCTTGTGGCTATACAGATCCGCGTGAGCCTCCCTTTGGCTCCTGCAAGAAGACAAGGCGCGAAGTGAACCAGCTCTCAATCTCACTCCTACCTCGGATTGTCACGATCCTCGGCAAAGTGCTTGAATGGATCACGATCTCGCTGATGGTGCTTCTGACCTTCGTCGTAATTTCGGCGGTGATTGCGCGTCTCTCGGGCCAGAGTTTTTCATGGTATGACGAAGTCGCCGCGATCATGCTCGCCTGGATAACCTACTACGGCTCGGCGCTCGCTGCGCTTCACCGTCGTCACATCGGGTTTGATACGGTGCTTCTGGCGATGCCGGTCAAGGCGCGTCTGGCGGCCTTGCTGGCGGGCGAGGCAATCGTGTTGATCTTCTTTGTGCTGATGGCGCGAGCCGGGCTTCAGGTTCTCGAAGTTCTCGAAGGCGACACGCTGATCTCACTGACCTGGGTTCCTGTTCAATTCACCCAGTCGATTATCCCGATTGGCGCGATCCTGTTCATCCTGTGCCAGCTTCTCAGCCTGCCGAACTACTGGAAAGTCACCGCCGCCGGCGTTTCGCTGGAACACGCGGAGATCGAGGAAGAGGTTGAGGCCGAGATGATCAAGAACAAGGATCGTAACTGATGTTGATGGCTGCGATCTTCTGCGCACTGCTGGCGATGATCTGCATTAATGTGCCAATTGCAGTTGCGCTGGCCATGTGTGGCGTGATCGGCCTCTTGGCGGTCGAGGGCACAGGCAGTTTGGTCACGATTGCCCTGGACATGTATGACGGATCCACCAAGTTTTCGTTGATCGCGATTCCGATGTTTGTGCTGGCAGGTGCCATTATGAACGCGGGCGGGATCACGGATCGGCTGATCAATTTCGTGTCCGCCATCATAGGCTTCATCCGCGGTGGTCTGGCGATGGTCAATATTGGCGTGTCGCTGTTCTTCGCGGAGATCTCGGGATCGGCTGTAGCGGACGTCGCTGCAATGGGCTCGATTCTGATCCCGCAGATGAAAAAGCGCGGCTACTCAAAGGAGTTTTCCGCCGCCGTCACGTCGTCCTCGGCCTCTCTGGCGATTATCATCCCGCCATCGATCCCCATGATCCTTTATGCAGCCTCAGCCAACACCTCAGTCGAGCAATTGTTTGTGGCAGGCGTTGTGCCGGGGCTCCTGGGCGCTGCCGGGTTGATGGGCGTCGCCTATGCTTTCGCGAAACGCTATGACTATCCGGTGGAAGAGGCATTCAACCTGCCGCGCGTACGCGAGACGTTCAAGGACGCGCTGCCCGCTTTTGCGTTGCCTGTGATCATCCTGGGCGGGATATTCGGCGGATTTGTCACCGCAACCGAAGCCGCAGGGTTGGCCGTGCTTGCTGCACTTGTTGTCTCTGCCTGGTATCGCAACCTGAACTTGGCACATTTGCGCCGGGCGATGCTCGACGGCGGCATACAAACCGCCGTGGTCATGCTTTTGGTTGCCGCATCGGTTCTTATGGGGGGTTTCTTGACCCGTGCGCAGATCCCTCAGCAACTGGCGGAAGCGATCTTGTCCGTCACCGCTCAGCAATGGGCGATCTTGCTGATCCTGAACTTCTTTTTCCTGATCATCGGGTTCTTTCTGCACTCGGCGGCCGCGATCATTCTGGTTGTCCCGATTGTGATCCCGCTGATCTCCGCCGCGGGCATTGATCCCGTGCATTTTGGTCTCGTCGTCACCCTGAACCTGGCAATTGGCCAACAGACACCGCCGGTAGCATCCGTTCTGATCACGTCCTGCTCTGTGGCGCGCGCGAACATCTGGGCCGTGTCGAAAGTGAATATCTTCTTTGTCGCGGTCCTGCTGGCGGTTCTGATGCTCTGCACATACGTGCCAGCGGTGCCGATGTTCCTCGTTGAGTACTTCTACCGATGACCGAAGAGCTTACGCAACATCTGGAAGAAGGCGTCTTGTGGGTGGCGTTCAATCGCCCGCAGTCGCGCAATGCGCTCACATTTGCGATGTACGACGGGCTCGCAAATCTCTGCACGTCGCTGCCAACCGACGGATCGGTCCGGGCCATCGTTCTTTCCGGAAACGGCGGAAAGGCGTTCGCGGCCGGCACTGATATGAGCCAGTTCCGCGATTTCAAGACTGCGCAGGACGCGCTGGACTACGAAGCCCGGATCGCACAGGTGCTGGACGACCTGGAACGTTGTCCGGTACCAACGATCGCAGCGATCAATGGCGCGTGCACGGGCGGCGGGGCCGCGATCGCGGCGGCGTGTGATCTGCGTATCACCTCTCCCAGCCTCAAGTTCGGGTTTCCTATCGCACGTACCTTGGGAAACTGCCTTGCCAGCGATAACCTTGCCCGCCTGTCGGATCTGATGGGAGCAGGCCGCGTCCGCGAAATCATATTCACTGCGCGGCTGATCCTGGCTGAAGAAGCTCGGGCGATCGGCCTGGTGAGTGAGGTTCTGCCGGATGAGGAGGCACTTATGGCGCGTGCCAAGGAACTAGCGCAGTTGGTCGGCACCATGGCGCCCCTGACCTTGCGCTCCACAAAAGAGGCCATGCGTCGCCGGCGAGCCGCGATTGCAGTTGAAGACGACGACCTGATCGCGATGTGTTACACCAGCGATGATTTCCACATCGGTATCGATGCATTTCTGAGCAAATCCAAACCGGATTGGACCGGAAAATGACGGCCGCAACCGGACCCTTGACCGGTATGAAGGTCATCGAGCTTGCGCATATCATGGCAGGTCCGGTGTGCGGCTTGATGCTGGCGGACATGGGCGCGGATGTCATTAAGGTGGAAAAGCCGCAAGGCGATGATTCTCGCCGGTTCGTCCCACCCGAGATTGAAGGTGAATCCGCTGCTTACATGATGATGAACCGCAACAAGCGGGGAATAGCACTGAACCTCAAGGACCCGTCGGCGCGAGACATATTGCACAAGCTCCTTTCAGATGCGGATGTCGTGATAGAAAATTATCGCCTGGGCACAATGGAACGGCTGGGTCTCGGCTATGAGGATCTGGCGGCAGTCAACCCGCGCCTGATCTATTGCGAAATCTCCGGGTTTGGGCGTACCGGTCCGTACGCTGAGCGTGGCGGTTTTGATTTGATAGCTCAGGGCATGGCCGGTCTGATGTCGATCACCGGCGAGGGACCGGGGCGTCCGCCGGTCAAAGTGGCTGCACCGATTTCAGACATCAATGCCGGTATTCTGGCGGCCATGGGTGTGAGCGCGGCATACGCAAATGCGTTGAAGACCGGCCGGGGGCAAAAAGTTGACACGTCGCTGTTTGAGGCCGCGATTGTGCAAACATACTGGCAATCGGCGATTGCTTTTTCTACCGGTGAAAATCCGCAACCGCTTGGCTCAGCGCATCCGCTCAACGCACCTTACCAGGCGTTCGCAACCAGCGACGGCTGGATCAATGTTGGCGCCGCGAACCAGAGCAACTGGCTCCGTTTGCTGGATGTCATCGATACGCCTGAGCTTGATGCCGATCCGAGATTTGCGTCGAACCAGTCGCGGATGCAAAACCTGCCTGCGCTCGTCGAAATCCTGAATGAGAAACTTCAGCGGGACACGACCGCCAACTGGTTGGCCAAGATGGAAGCCGCGGCGCTTCCAGCCGGTCCGGTCCTGGGCATTCTGGAGATGCACGAGGACCCTCAGGCGGTTGCACGTGATATGATCGTGGAGACAAATCACCCCATCGCTGGCGATGTTAAAACCGTTGGTCATCCGGTCAAATTCAGCAAGACACCTGCCAAAGTTGCCAGAGCCGCGCCGGTGTTGGGACAGCATAGCCGAGAGGTGTTGGAACAGCTTGGGTATGATCAGGAAACTGTCGCGAGCCTGATGGCAAGCGGGGCGGTCATAGCCGCATAGTCTCCTAATAGGCCAAGGCGTAGACGTAGATCGGGGGTCGGAGTGAAACTTGCTTTGGATACAGCGCAGAAAATTGTCTCGGCCGCTTTGGACTGGCGGCGCGTCCAAGGGATGAAGCCCATTACGGTAGCTGTTCTTGACAGCGGCGGATTTTTGATGGCGCTGGCCCGCGAAGATGGCACCAGCAATCTGCGTCCTGACATTGCTCAGGGCAAGGCGCGGGGGGCGATCGGTATGGGGCTTGGCTCGCGTGCCCTGTTTGAACGGGCAAAGTCACAGCCCTATTTTGTCCAGGCAATGAACAGCATTGCCGAAGGATCGCTGGTGCCGGTTCCCGGCGGCGTTTTAATCAAAGAGGACGGCCAAATCCTGGGGGCAGTTGGAATAACCGGTGACTCGTCCGACAATGATGAAACTTGCGCAATCGCGGCAATTGAGGCAGCCGGATTCACGGCAGACGGAGGCTGATCGACGCCCGAGCCGACGAGAACGGTTAGACCGCCTCAACGTCCGGCCTTCCAGCCGTGTTGCTCCGTTGACAATCATGCTGCCGCAGCAAAAAACTCCACAGCAAGACCTAGTAATATCAAGACCTGGCGAAAAAACGCACTGCGTGTGTGGCGGCGGCCAATTGTATCCACCGCATCACTAGGCGATCTTTCCCCTATTTGGTCGGCTTTCGATCAGCAGTGTTCGTGCGTGATTGATCAAATGGCGGTCGGAATTCTTCAAGTAGCGCTCGCCGGATGCGGTCGGAGATCGAACCTGCATTGCATTTGTGGGTTCAGCACAGCCTACTTGGACAAAAGGACTCATCCGGCCGATTGCAATAGGGCAGGTAAAGCAGTGAAACCGCCTCGTGCAAGCTCTGGTCTCGTCAGGTGGCAGCTGAAGACACCACACTGGTTCCCTTGTCCTTCCTCTGATCCTCCCCATTTGAAGCGGTCCAACTTTCCACTCCTGAATGCTCTGAAAGCAAAAGTCTCGGCGTGATCAGGCTCCCGCAACCAAACAGGATCAAGTCGCCCTGAAGGGCGTCATTTTTGTTGGATTGGACAAGGCACATCCCCCCGGCAGAAACCAGAACAGTGACCAGGCCCGGCGCAAAAGAGAAAAACTCTCAAAGCAAATCAGACAAAATTCGCTAACTCGACCTGAAGCTTCGATCTTTGAACGAAACTCTGGCCGTTTGTGCCGACAGTTGGACAATCCCAGAGTAGATTCGATAGCCATGGAACCATTTCCGACAAGCATGTCGAAGCAACAACGCCTTGATACCTGTTCAATGACCGTTGTAGAAAGCGTCCACAATCTGTGGACTTGGTTTCAAGGGAAACAAAGCCAATTTAGTCCGCCGCGGGCCGCTCTGGAACTCAACAGGAACGTTTTTTGGAAGAGATCTACCTTACGCCGTTGACCGGATCCATTCTTGTTGTCCTGGCAGTCGGCTCCGGTCACCTTTTTCGGGACAACTGGAAAAAGCAGGAAGATGGATGGCAACGCAGAGCCTGGCTCTACGGAGTGCTCTCAGGAGGAAGTCTTTTGATGCTTGCCTTCGTTCCCTTGAAATTCTGAGACTTTCTTGCGGTGCTGAAAGGGCGCGGGCTCTGATGGGGTGGATCCTACGTTAAGGTATTTTGAGCTCTATTGAAGTTTGTGGATGACATTGTCCTCTGCCTCCTCACCTCTTCGTAAAATTCCTCATACGGTTCACAATCGCAAGCATGGTGTTTTTTAGATCCCCGGGTCGCGGTCATTCCACCGGTAGGAGAGGCCGTCTTCATACGGAGTTCGAATGTATCGCCGTTATGTATCTCAATAAGAAAAACCGGCAACTGATTGCCGGTTTTTTGTCTTGTTCGTTTTAGCCACCAAAGTCATCGAGCATGATGTCTTCCCGGTCGACGCCCATTTCTACGAGCATGTTGATGACCGAGGAGTTCATGATCGGCGGTCCGCACATGTAGAATTCACAATCCTCCGGAGCGGGGTGGTCCTTCAGATACTGCTCGAAAAGCACGTTGTGAATGAACCCGGTGTAACCGTCCCAATCGTCGCCGGGCTGCGGATCCGACAATGCAACATGCCATTCGAAGTTCGGGTTTTCCGCCGCCAGCTGGTCGAAGTCTTCAACGAAGAACATCTCCCGCTTTGAACGTGCGCCATACCAGAAGGTGATCTTGCGCTTGGAACTCAGCCGCTTGAGCTGATCGAAGATGTGGCTGCGCATGGGTGCCATGCCGGCACCGCCACCGACAAAAACCATCTCCTTGTCGGTTTCGCGTGCGAAGAACTCACCAAACGGACCGGAAATTGTGACCTTGTCGCCCGGTTTCAGATCGAAGATATAGGAGGACATCTGGCCCGGTGGAATTCCCTCTGAACCGGGTGGAGGCGACGCGACACGGACATTGAGCATGATCATGCCCTTTTCTTCCGGATAGTTCGCCATCGAATAGGCGCGTTCTATCGGAACGTCGACGGTGGACTTGTACTGCCAGAGATTGAACTTGTCCCAGTCCTCCCGGTATTCCTCCTCGATATCGAATTCCGTGTAGGACAGGCTGTGCGCGGGTGCCTCGATCTGGATGTAGCCGCCGGCCCGGAAATTGACATCTTCACCTTCCGGCAGGTCGAGAACCAGCGCCTTGATGAAAGTTGCGACGTTTTCGTTCGAGCGGACGGTGCACTCCCACTTTTTGACACCGAAAACCTCTTCGGGAACTTCAATGTCCATGTCCTGCTTGACCGCAACCTGACAGGACAGGCGGTCGCCGCAGGAGGCCTCGCGTTTCGTGATATGGCTTTCCTCCGTCGGAAGAATCGATCCGCCACCGGAGTGAATCTTGACGCGGCACTGCGCACATGTTCCGCCGCCACCGCAGGCAGAGGGAACGAAGAGCTTCTGTTCGGCGAGTGTCTGCAACAACTTGCCGCCGGCGGGAACCGAAATGGTCTTCTCCCCGTTGATGGTGATGCTGACATTCCCGGTCGACACAAGCTGACTGCGCGCGACCATGATTATGGTCACCAGGGCTAGCACGATCAACGTGAACAGGATGACGCCCAGGCTGAATGTTTCCATTCCGATCGTCTCCCTTAGAGTTTGACGCCGCTGAAGGACATGAAGGCCATGGCCATCAGACCGGCGGTGATGAAGGTGATGCCGAGGCCCTGCAGGCCGTCGGGTACGTCTGAGTATTTCAGTTTTTCCCGGACACCTGCCATTGCGGTGATTGCGAGAGCCCAGCCGAAACCGGACGCAATACCGTAGGTGGTCGACTGCGCAAAATCGTAGTCGCGCTCCACCATGAACAGCGATCCGCCGAGAATGGCGCAGTTCACCGTGATCAGCGGCAGGAAAATGCCGAGTGCGTTGTAAAGCGGTGGGAAGAACTTATCGAGGATCATCTCCAGGATCTGAACCATGGCCGCAATGACGCCGATATAGGAAATCAGGCCCAGGAACGTCAGGTCAACATCGGGAAAGCCTGCCCAGGCAAGGGCGCCCGGCTTCAGCAGATACGTCAGCAGCAGATTGTTTGTCGGCACGGTGATCGCCTGAACGACCATTACCGAGATGCCGAGACCGATCGCCGTGGAGATCTTCTTGGAAACGGCAATGAATGTGCACATGCCGAGAAAAAATGACAGCGCAAGGTTTTCAACGAAAATCGCCTTGACTGCGAGTGCGACCAGGCCTTCCATCAATGAGCCTCAACCGTTTGTATTTTGAATTCACGTTCTTCGACCTGCTTCGGTTTCCAGGTCCGGAAAGCCCAGATCAGAAGCCCGATCACGAAAAATGCCGACGGTGGCAGCAGCAGCAATCCGTTCGGTACGTACCACCCGCCATTGTTGACGGTTTGCAGGATCGTGACGCCGAAAAGCGAACCCGCGCCGAACAACTCGCGAATGAAACCGACGAGCATCAGGATCAGTCCGTAGCCGAGCCCGTTGCCGACGCCGTCCAGGAAAGAGGCGACTGGCGGGTTTTTCATCGCGAATGCTTCCGCACGGCCCATCACGATGCAGTTGGTGATGATGAGGCCAACGAACACGGACAGTGTCTTTGAGATCTCGTACGCGAATGCCTTGAGGATCTGATCCACCAGGATCACCAGTGAGGCAATGATCACCATCTGCACGATAATGCGGATCGAACTCGGAATGTGGTTGCGCAGCATGGAGATGAACATGGAGGAAAAACCGGTCACGGAAATCACCGCCAGTGCCATCACAAAGGACACCTGCAGCGACGAGGTGACCGCCAGTGCCGAGCAGATCCCGAGAACCTGCAAAGTGATCGGATTGTTGTCGACCAGGGGATCAACGAGCAGTTCTCTGCGCTTGTGTGCCATCAGATGTCTCCTGCTTGAAGGTTGCTCAGAAAGGTTTCGTAGCCTTCTTCGCCCATCCAGAACTTGACCAGATTGTCAACGCCTCGCGAGGTCAGGGTGGCCCCTGCAATGGCGTCGATATGATATTCGATACCGGCTGCCGGCGGCGCCTTGTCGACGGTGATCTGCAGGTCACCATTGTCGTCACGCAGTTTTTTGCCGGTCCAAAGCGCCTTCCAGCGTGGGTTGTCGACTTCGGCGCCGAGGCCGGGTGTTTCGGCGTGCTGGTAGAATTGAAGTCCGAAAATGTCGTTTCCATTGGCTTCGAGCGCAATGAAACCGTAAAGCGTCGACCAGAGCCCATATCCGTGAACCGGCAGTATGACCTTGTCGATGGAGCCGTCTTCCTTGCGAAGCAGGTAGATGGTCTTGAAATTCGACTGACGGCCGATGCCTGCCGGGTCGCTGGAAAGGTCCCGGCTGAGCTCCGGGTCATCGGCGGCTGCCCGTTCGTCGAATGTCGCGACGTCAAATTCATCGGTGAACTTGCCGGTCGTCAGGTCGAGAACATGCGGTTCAAAGGCCTGGAAGGCTTCCCGGATGTTTTCGCCCGGTGTGTAGACACCCGCGACCTGCAGTATATTGATCCTCTTGTCGCGAAGCTTGTTTTCCTCCTGGATCGGCCGCAGCGAAACGGCCGCGACAGAGACGATCATGGAAGCGAACAGGCACAGGGTAACCGCAACGAACAATGTCTTGGGAACCGAGTCGGCCGGAAGATCGAGAAACCGCCGCAAGGGCCCCTTTCGGGCATTCGTGTCAGGAGTGTTGTCAGCCATACCGGCGCATCCTCCGCTTGATATTGGCTTGAACGACAAAATAGTCGATTAGCGGCGCAAACACGTTTGCAAACAGAATCGCGAGCATCATGCCTTCAGGGAAGGCCGGGTTGACCACACGGATCAGTACGACCATCACGCCGACCAGCGCCCCGTAGAAATAGCGGCCTGCGTTGGTATGCGACGCGGAAACCGGCTCGGTGACCATGAAGGCAAGGCCAAAGGCATAGCCGCCGATCACGAGGTGCCAGTACCAGGGCATGGCAAACATCGGGTTCGTGCTGGACCCGATCATGTTCAGGAGCAGCGAGAAACCGATCATTCCGGCAAGACAGCCGACGATCAGGCGCCAGTTGGCGATCTTCGTGACCAGCAGGAATGCGAGGCCGATCAGGCAGGCGAGCGTTGAGGTCTCGCCGAGACTGCCCTGCATGAATCCGAGAAAGGCATCCATCCAGGTAATCCCGGCGGACGTCAGCTCCCGGTAGCCCTCCGAAGCGCTGATGGAGAGAGCGGTCGCGCCGGAAAATCCGTCAACAGGTGTCCAGACCGTGTCGCCGGACATGTAGGCAGGATAGGCGAAATAAAGGAAAGCGCGGCCGGTCAGCGCCGGATTGAGGAAATTCTTGCCGGTTCCGCCGAACACTTCCTTGCCGATGACAACACCGAAGGCGATCCCGAGCGCCACCTGCCACAAGGGCGTGGAAGCAGGCAGGATCAGCGTGTAGAGCATGGAAGTGACAAGAAACCCTTCGTTGACTTCATGACCGCGGATGGTCGCGAAAACAACTTCGCAGATGCCTCCTGCCACCAACGTCGCGATGTAGATGGGGAAGAAATAAAGCGCCCCGTGTATCATGCACGCGAATATGTTCGACGGATCCAGCCCGATGCCGAACATCTGCAAAATCCAGATTCGCCAGCCGGTCTGGGCTTCCGGACCGAGAGCCGCAAGCGCCGAGTTCGCCTGAAAGCCTGTGTTGTACCAGGCAAACAGGATGCAGGGGATCGTCGAAATGACCACGTAGGTCATGATCCGCTTCATGTCGACGTAACTACGCACATGCGGTGCGTTCTTGGTTACTGTTTTCGGCGTGTAGACGAGGGATTCCACCATCTCGTAGATGGGGAACAGTTTCTCGTATTTTCCACCCTTTTCAAAAAGGGGTTCAATACGGTCAAAGAACCTGCGCAGACCCAAAGGATCAGCCCTCCTTCTCGATCTTTTCCAGGCACTCGCGAAGGGCAAGGCCATATTCGTATTTTGCAGGGCAAGCGAAACCGACGAGACCGAGGTCTTCTTCATCGAGTTCAAGCGCGCCAAGCGCCTGCGCGGCGTCGGTGTCCTTGATCAGGAGCGCCCTGAGCAACTGCGTCGGCAGGAAATCCTGCGGCATGAGCTCTTCAAACGTGCCCGTTGGAACCATTGCGCGACGCCCGCCATTCAGATTGCTGGTCAACGCATAGAGTTTCTTGGAAAATGCAGAGGCAAGAACCGGCTGGAATGCATATTTTCCGGGCATCGGACGGATCCATCCGAGCGGGATCTGCTTCTTGTCTTCCTCGATAATCGAAACCTGCCGGTGATACCGGCCGACGTAGCTCATCGGGCCGTCAGCTTCGCGTCCGCTGAGAACGGAGCCAGATAGGATACGCGGAATGCAATCCGCGGCAATCTCGCCCTCTGCAAGATCCTCAATGGATGCACCGGACAACGTCCGCACCAGACGGGGGTTTTTTGCAATCGGACCGCAGATCGAAATCACGATGGTCGGGTCAAGGTGTCCGGTTCGTGCAAGAGCGCCGATTGCCAGGACATCCTGGTATGAAATTGTCCAGACCGACTGTTCCGCCCTGGGGGGTGTCAGAAAATGCATATGCGTTCCCGGCAAGCCGGCCGGGTGCGGGCCGGTAAAGCCAACGGGAGTTACGCCCGCGGCCGCGGCCCCGTCGAATGACAGGTCCGGAGACTGGCAGAGATAGGTAGGTCCATCCGTCAGCTTTGAAACAGCAAGGAGACCCTTTGCGAAATCATCGACGCGTTCCTCGATGATGACGTTCGCCTCCGCTGCAAGCGGTTCACTTTCCAGGGCGGTCACATAGATGGCGAGCGGTTTGCCGCCTGTCTGCGGAACCTTTGAATAAGGACGGGATTTGAAGGAGGTCCAAAGGCCTGCGGCGCAGATTTTCGTTTTGACGTCATCTGCACTCGCATCATCCGCCAGCGCACCGAAGTCGATCCCTTTGTCGTCGACGTTGTCGGCCTCGACCACAATGCTTTGCAAGACGCGACGCGCCCCGCGATTGATCGCACGGACGCGGCCGGTCACGGGCGAAACGATCATGGCCCCTGGATTGTCCTTGTGAAAGAACAGCGGAGTTCCCCGTTTGACCTCTTCGTGTTCCTGCACAAGCACCTTGGGCTTGAGACCGATGTAGTCCGGTCCGACAAGTCCGACGGAGCGCACAGGCTGTCCCTGGTGGATTTTCTGCTCTGGCGCGCCCGCGAGTGGCAGATCCAGGCCTTTTTTGATGTTTATTGTATCCATCTTAAACCCGCTGCGGATGTTCAGGAGTGCCGCAGTTTGAAACTTGCTTCATTGATGGTGATTTCGACTGGTCACGCGAGCATGACTGGCTTTCACCGATAGGCCGACTTCTGAGGATTTATTGGAATGCCAGCAGAAAAACAACTGGCGTTTCAAACTAAAAAACAGTATCAGCCCCGTAACAAAGCCCCCGTGTTGATCCCAGACTGCACCATGCATCCGGCAAGGTTAACGCATCCTTTGGCTTTTGCCCATTAGATCGAATATCTACCTTGTGATTGACACCATGAAAAAGACCCTCTTCGTTCTTGCGGCCCTTTCACTTTCTGCCTGTATGGGTGAAGAGCCGGCAAAAGTCATCACACTTTCAGGCAAGACGATGGGGACCACCTACAACATTACGGCGGTAGGTGTACCCGATGATCTTGAAGAGGTGGCTCTGTCCGGCGACGTGGAGGCAGTCCTTGCGGATGTCAACGCCAAGATGTCGAACTGGGACAAAAACTCCGAGGTGTCACGGTTCAATGTTTCTGAAGAAACGGCACCGGTTGAAATTTCAGCGGATTTCGTAACCGTGATGACGGCCGCGAACGAAGTTCACAAGCTCAGTGACGGCAAATTCGACGTTACTCTGGGACCACTGATTGAACTCTGGGGTTTTGGTCCGCGCAAGCCTGACGACCCCGTGCCCTCGGACGAGGACATCGAAGCGGCACTTGCATTTGTTGGCCAGGCAGAAAAGCTCTCGCTTGATCCGGAGGCTTCGGTGCTTTCCAAATCCGCGCCTGAAGTCGGCATCAATCTTTCAGCCATTGCAAAAGGCTTCGGTATTGATGCCGTTGCCGCGAAGCTCAAGGCGCTCGGTATCGACAATTACATGGTCGAGATCGGTGGCGATCTTGTCGCATCCGGACACAATGACAAGGGAGCCGCCTGGAAAATTGGCATTGAAAAGCCTGAACCTGGAGAAAAGGCGGTCGAGCAAGTCGTCTCGCTTGAAGACAAGGGCCTGGCGACATCGGGCGATTATCGCAATTTTGTTGAGCACGAAGGTGTGCGCTACTCCCATATCATCGATCCGGTAACGGGAAAGCCGATCACGCATTGGACAACATCCGTCAGCGTTGTTGCCGATGATGCCATGATGGCCGATGCCTGGGCGACCGCAATGCTGGTTCTGGGGTCCGAACGCGGTCTTGAAGCTGCGGAAGCCAACAACAGTGCCGTGTTTTTCATTTCCCGTGATGAAACCGCAGACAAAAGCGCATATGTTACTCAGGCGAGCAGCGCCTTCGAGGCATTGCTCAAAGAGAAGTAATTCGGTAACCGGCGTCGCTTAGAAATCTCATATGGCTACTTTCCTGATTGCATTTGTCCTCCTGATTCTCGTCGTGACGGGCATGTCGCTTGGTGTCATTCTCATGGGGAAGACAATCAAGGGCA